GTTGGTGTCCATGTAGAAACCACAGTTCTACCATATAACTGTTGCTAGTTAGCGTCCTTGAAGAAACCTCAGTCCTACCATATAACTGTTGCTAGTTAGCTTCCATGTATACACCAGTCCTACCATATAACTGTTGCTAGTTAGCTTCCATGTATACACCAGTCCTACCATATAACTGTTGCTAGTTAGCGTCCATGTATAAACCAGTCCTACCACATAACTGTTGCTAGTTAGCGTCCATGTATAAAAGGAGAGTCTGGCCAAGGGATTAAGAACACTGAGCTCTCCAGCCAAATTCCAATTTCTTCTGTTGGAGGCAAAAATACTACACTTCACAATATGTGGCAACAGCACCAAATCCTTGGGTTTAAAAGACCCCTACACCAACCTAAAACATGGTAAATGCAGGCAGGAAAGTATTTATTCAGTTATTTTCACGGGAATTCACTCTATTCATATAATTATCTGAGTTTTTAGATTGTATTGAATTTCCTTCCTTTCCTGGAACTCAGGGACCAATAAATTTACCCTAGACAATTTTATTTAAATAATTAAAGGAGAAGGGTGAATCCCCAGAAATTGACTGACTAAATATCTATTCTTCTAAACCAACTTGTGAATACTCAGAGTTCAATACATTCATAACTGAACTCGAATGAATCAAAGAGTAACACTTCATCAACAAGTAATTCAAACAGATACTAATTTACTTAATCCAGTAGTTAGGTTATACTAAATGAACACATTTATTGACACAACCCCACCTAAAATATCTCTTTCAATTAATCAGCAATTCACTAAACATCATTTAACATACATGCACTTGTCCCATCATTTTATCTTCTTCTTCTTCTTCTTCACTTCCTCTTTTACCGCTGTGGGTGTCGAGGGAGATATAAGGTTCTGTTTCTAGCTCTTCTGGCTGCCTCGACCATAGGCACATCGTGCTGTTGTAGAGTTTATCTGATGTTATCCTTCCATCTTGTTCTTGGTCTACCCCGTGCTCTACGTCCTTCTTCTCTTCCCATGTATGCTTTGTATGGTATGGTGTCACAAGGCATTCTCTCTAAGTGAGCAAACCATTTCACTTGCTGTCTTTGTATGTAATCATTTTATCAGTCCCTCCAAACCTGCAGTGTGCTGTTTTCTAAACCACATTTTCACTTCAAATGCAACTTTTGCGTCATTCACAAAATTCTGCTATGGTGGGTTTTCAGGGGACCATGCTTTATGTTGTATACTGAATCATGTGATAAGCCTATTGCAGCTGCTACGGAGTCAACCGGTACTTGCCTGTCACTTCTAATCATCTTCTCCACCCATGCATTTTTAGGAATCTCAACCGGATGACCAGATCGGACTTCATCAATTTTTGAGTGTCCACGAGAATTTGTTTTTACCCAGCACCGCTTAATGGGATAAACTTATCTGCATACAAAATAGCCCGTTCTTTAAGGGTACACTCTGTAAGTACAGTCCCCATTTTGTTTTTGTGCTGCGAATGCGCATGCAACACCTAGCGCCACCTAACCCGCGGAGACAAAGTTTGATGTTGCCGTCACCTAATGACACCTTCATAAACCACTAACTACATTTTCCTACTATCCCATAACCATTTGTGACTTACTGACTTCCCCTCACTTCTAACTCTTCACTCAAAAACAAGATTTTGAAAGAGAAATTCTTAAATTCCTCCCGCAGAGGCACTAACATACAAACGATACAAAACAAAACAGAAAGTGTCAATATACTTCGGGTAGTTCGATGTTAGTCTCCCCAAATAGAGTAGGTCACTTTTCATTCACAAGTTTCTTGGGCTGGTCGACTTTCCTGAAGGTTACGGGTGTGTCCCGCTCTGTTTGGTTTCTGTGATGTCTTGCATTTACGTTTTTATTCAGAGAAAGCGAAGTGGGTTGGGGGGGGGGGGGGGGCGCAGAGGGTGTTGTGTTAAACCCAGTTTCTCCATACAGTGTTAAAAATGCTAGTGTGCTGAAAGATACAACACGCAATATTAACGGCATTGTGGAATACCCCCGTAACCTTGTGCAAAGGACACAGGGCTCAGGAAGTACCAATCAGAAGTGAGCTAGTGTATATTGGGGCGGGGTATGGGGAGACTAATGTCAAACTAACCTATACTTCACATGTAACAACCCACCTCAAAAATAAAAAAAAAATTAAATTGCAGTCAAAATCCCAAACCAAAGTGCTAATAATACACACACACACAAAAAGTGCAGTTCAGCAGTTTTTATTTTCAATTTCTCTTGCTAAAACTTTAATATACATATAAAGTTTAATCTTCATTTTTTAAATGCAACGCATTCTAAATCTGGCTGCAAACTGCACATTTGGTTTTCTGTAACAGAGAATTGTTGAACACATGTGGTCACAAATCTGACTCATAATGGATGAAGGCCTGTTAAGATGCAAGTTGTTGGGAAATGGATGATGTTACTATATATATATATGGATGTGTAGATCACACGAACTCCTGACTGACTCTCAAAACTAGATACAATGTTGCAGATGTCTAGAATTTTTATGTAATGTTTTAATACAAGTAATACACAAGCAATATTCACTTATGCGTGTTTAACAAACATGGAGAGAACTGTGGCATGGAGTTTGAATCTGGTGGAACTGATAACTGTAACTAACTAAACTAAACAGATTAAATTAACTAGTAGCGTCCCAGACAGGATGTGACATGTGATTGTATTTCCCCCCATCGTTTCCACATGGCACTTTCAGATTAAATTAACTTGTGATTGTATTACCCCCATCGTTTCCACATGGCACTTTCAAACAGATTAAATTAACTAGTAGAGTCCCAAACAGAATGTGACATGTGATTGTATTTCCACCATCGTTTTCACATGGCACTTTCAAACCGATTAAATTAACTAGTAGAGTCCTAAACAGAATGTGACATGTGATTGTATTTCCACCATCATTTTCACATGGCACTTTCAAACAGATTAAATTAACTAGTAGAGTCCCAAACAGAATGTGACATGTGATTGTATTTCCACCATCGTTTTCACATGGCACTTTCAAACCGATTAAATTAACTAGTAGAGTCCTAAACAGAATGTGACATGTGATTGTATTTCCACCATCATTTTCACATGGCACTTTCAAACAGATTAAATTAACTAGTAGAGTCCCAAACAGAATGTGACATGTGATTGTATTTCCACCATCATTTTCCCATGGCACTTTCAAACAGATTAAATTAACTAGTAGAGTCCCAAACAGAATGTGACATGTGATTGTATTTCCACTATCATTTCCACATGGCACTTTCAAACAGGAAAAAAAAAACCCACTGACATTATCTACAAGTTCAACCTAGAATGCTGTGTCCCAGTCTATCATTGTCTATGAATCTGTATACAGCCTACATCCAGCAGCAACTTCCATGTTCCTCCTACCACCACCACATGTATCCCACTGTGTATAAGCTTGTTTTCATAGGATCTTTAACTGAACAAAAAAATGTCTTGTGTGCGATGTCTCGTGAGACTGACAGAAAAAATAACCCAAAAATACACCGTCAGTGGTTGTAGCAAAACAAGCATCCGTTAAATCATTAATGTTTCCACTCTGGATCTAGTCACATATACACTGGCAGTGGCTGTAGCAACACAAGCATCCATTAAATCATTAATGTTTCCACTCTGGATCTAGTCACATATACACTGGCAGTGGTTGAAGCAACACAAGCATCCGTTAAATCATTAATGTTTCCACTCTGGATCTAGTCACATATACACTGGCAGTGGTTGAAGCAACACAAACATCCGTTAAATCATTAATGTTTCCACTCTGGATCTAGTCACATATACACTGGCAGTGGTTGAAGCAACACAAACATCTGTTAAATCATTAATGTTTCCACTCTGGATCTAGTCACATATACACTGGCAGTGGTTGAAGCAACACAAACATCCGTTAAATCATGAATGTTTCCACCCTGGATCCAGTCACATATACACTGGCAGTGGTTGTTGCAACACAAGCATCCGTTAAATCATGAATGTTTCCACCCTGGATCCAGTCACATATACACTGGCAGTGGTTGTTGCAACACAAGCATCCGTTAAATCATGAATGTTTCCACCCTGGATCCAGTCACAAACATCAAGCCATCATAAAGACAATGTGCAGGTGAATGTGTCGACATTCTGTAGTGTTTAAAATACTGCACTCCGATCCATACACTCGTCAGGTCACTCATCCGATCGATACAACCACAGGATGAACCAGCACATGTCAGGTCACTCATCCGATACAAACACAGCATGAACCAGCACACGTCAGGTCACTCATCCGATACAAACACAGCATGAACCAGCACATGTCATGTCACTCATCCGATACAACCACAGCATGAACCAGCACACGTCAGGTCACTCATCCGATACAACCACAGCATGAACCAGCACACGTCAGGTCACTCATCCGATACAACCACAGCATGAACCAGCACACGTCAGATCACTCATCCGATACAACCACAGCATCAACCAGCACACTCAAACAAATATTTCAACTATTAACTCTTTCAGTTCCAAACAATGCATGCACTGTGTGTGATGGGATCCTCCTAGTGAGTCACAACCATCAAACTGTGTTTTCTTACATTTTAATTTTGGATAATATAAGGACATTTGGCTTCCCAACTGGCCTCAACCTCTGTGTTGAGCCTTATATTAGCTTTCCTAATTGTTTGCCCCTTCAGCACTGGCTGCCAAATCTTCTGGTACTGAAAGCGTTAACAGATAAAAAAGGGACGAATTCAACATTGAAACCACTCAGACATATCAATTTCTCATTTATCATATATATATATTATGGGCATTTAAATGCACTGAGCTGCTGACATCTTTCTACCATGGATGTAAATTCAGTTTCTAAAACGTTAGCACTTGGGATACATGCTCACACTTCTGAGCTGCACACGCCAGCAGACATCAAAATAGACAGAAATATCTTCAAGAGCCTTTGGCAGAAAAATTCCTATCTTTCAGTAGATTCCTGAGTGCACCAGATTTATTCAGACTTTTGAGATCACTGTTTCCCCCGACACAGTGGCCATCAATGAAGATTCTTGGCACCTGTATGTAATAAAGGAACAGCATACACGTCTCATTTACATAACTGCTGACAGTGGTTTATTTAGTGCTCATAGAAAATTCAAGAGATCTCATGAACCGACTAAACTGAAAGGGAACTGGGAGAGATCTCATGAACCGACTAAACTGAAAGGGAACTGGGAAGTTAACCCAATCAACAAATGCTTGATGAAGTTGGATGTCTTGGCCAAAAAGCACTTATAGCTTTGCTATTAACAGGCACAATGCAATTACATCACTCGAACAAACAAAAAAAGAAGAAAAATTAGGGGGAAAAAACAGTAAACCCAACAATGGTTTGACCAGGCAACAAGACTGACAACAGACAGAGCACCACATAGAGCAATGTTCTATAGATACAGCGCTAACAGAGCCAGAGGTCGACCATCTTAAGATAGGCCATGAAAATATAGGAGAAACTGAAAAGTAGGAAGCAGAAAGAAGGGTGCGTTCCAGAGATCTCTTCCTGCCCTGATGCAGCAAAGCATTTTAGAAGAGGAGCAAAGAAGGTAGTGATTCAAGTCAAAGGGATGTGCTTACTTTTGTATTACATAGCTGGCACCCCTACTATATTAAAAAGGGGGGGAACTCAATAATCCAAATAATTTTTGTGAGTGAGGAAAATAGGGGTGACTTCAGTCGAGCTCGTAACAATGAATTCTAGTCATACTTTCTGTTCAGGCAATTCATATTTTCCTGTGGGCTGATGAGTCTCAGAGGTTTTCTGGACACTGCATCTCTGAAGGCCACAAGCTCCAAGACCCTATCCCAGCTTAGTTAAGGCTGAAAAAGGCTATCATCTATGGTGCATGACATGGACATGTGGCAGGAGTCTTGCATGAGGTTCTGTAAAACCAGCACAGAGCCTGCCGGTGCCTGAGGTGAAGTACAGTCTCCCCTCATAAATACAACAGCCTAAACTTCCCCTCATACCTGTGATTAAAATCACACTCCGCACCTTCTCTGTTTGAACATTTCGCCGGTTATGGTCTGGAACCACTCATAATACATCATAGCCGACCAGAAAAGCAGAAAATATAATGAGGCCAACACAAGTTATTCTAGGATTGGTGCCCAAAGATTACTGGCATAGGGATAGTGCTCTAAGTAAAGCTTTTCCTTAAAGAAATAGCGGACAGGAAGCAGCCCCCGAAGGAGGCTTTAGGCAAGACCTGGTTAAATAATTGGATGACACAGGCAAAAGAAACTATCAGACATGTTTGTGACACTGAGGAGATAATACATGCTGAGGAATAGACCAAGATACCATCCACAATTGTAGCCTTAGACTGTGGACATTACATAGTGATATTTTTTGCCCACAGTGGTGGTCGAGGTTTCAACTCCAGGGATCACCCCACAAATGCCCCATTCCTGTGCCAGTGAAAATCACACAATATGTCTTTCAATGTTTCATTTGAAAATTGGTGAACAAATAATTATCTCCTGCAAAATCCAGAAACACGCACATGCAGTAATGCATAAGGCAGCTTCACATTACAAGCCCCACAAAAATATCTAGTGTATGACTATAACAACAAAAGCACTTACAATGATCTAGTGTATAACTATAACAACAAAAGCACTTACAATGATCGAGTGTATGACAAAAACAGTGTTCTTTCCTCACATTACAAGTTCCACAAACAATGATATCTAGTGTGTGACTAAACCTGAGAAAGCACTCACAGTTCTAGCATCCGTGATACGACCAAGAACATTCTGCACTTGGTTCCCTTCCTTCATCTTGTCCAGTTCCACCGTGGTATAATCCACTCCCATGTTGCTGAGCAGAGTCTTGGAGTCATCACAGTAAGGACAGTGAGTTTTACTGAAGATCACCACACGGTTTCTCCGGACCAGATTTTGTATGAAGTTGTGCTCCTGAGACTCTGATGTCGCTCCATCCAAGTGATGGTCTCCAGTAGCCTTGTACTCATCTGGGGACATGTCCACACTACTGTCCATTGCCGTAACAAATGGAAAAGCTGTCAATGAAAAAAGCAAGCCAAAGTCATTTCAATTAAACAGCCGAAACAAACTAATATAGTAAGAATCTAGAACAGAAATTTTTATAAATATCTGTTTTCATGACAAATGTCCTCCCAGCAAGGTTAGAACCTCAAGCACAAATACAAATTCACAGAAAAAAAAATGCTACCCACCACAATATGTTAATACATTTAAAAAATGTCTCTCACAGTAGAATTAATGTTTATTTTTCTTTGGAAAAAAAAAAGGGGGGGGGGGGGGAAGTAATTGACCCCTATAACATCAGCCTGGCATCCGGCTAATTGAAAGTTTAAGTCAGGTTGCTGAGCCAAACATGAACTCCCTAGATATGTCAAAGGTCAAAGTTGTCTGCAAGTTCTGTGGCACTGTTATCATCATCATGTTCTAGTTGTGCCGTAACTTATTAATGAGATTTTGTTCTAGGCTAGTCAAAACTGACAATGATCCGCATGTTTTCCATTGAGAATATAGTTTTTATAACTTGTTAAGGTGTTGTTGGTCTATTCTTTTTCCTAAGTGGGTCTCCTACCCCACACTTGGAGGCGAGCATTCCACTTTGGAGCAAATTATCAGTTAATGTAACTAGTTATCAGGTAACTAGTTGAAATGTCTGTTGACTTGATTCATGTTACATTTGTAACTTGTATGATAAATTTGTGTTGTTAAGTTCTAAGGGAAATACAGAACAGCATCAATGTAAGCTACTAAGCGTATTGTAAAGAGATGAGTGAGGAGGGATGATCTTGCAGCTGAACACCACCCCCATCCTGCAAACAGTTTCAACCACAGAAGTCAACCAACTGTAAGCATATCGTAAAGAGGTGAGTGAGGAGGGATGATCTTGCAGCTGAACACTACTCCCATCCTGCAAACAGTTTCAACCACAGAAGTCAACCAACTGTAAGCATATCGTAAAGAGGTGAGTGAGGAGGGATGATCTTGCAGCTGAACACCACCCCCATCCTGCAAACAGTTTCAACCACAGAAGTCAACCAACTGTAAGCATATCGTAAAGAGGTGAGTGAGGAGGGATGATCTTGCAGCTGAACACCACCCCCATCCTGCAAACAGTTTCAACCACAGAAGTCAACCAACTGTAAACAAATCTAACAATAAAAAGGAAACAAGAATTACTCTGGCAATCTAGATGGATCTTTATTCCTAGAACTACTGAATGATACACAGCAAGCAACTACCTCCTTCCATCTATGAAATTTTCTAGTGAAACTTCTAACAAGAGGTGGATTCATACACAAACTTAGGTAGTAATGTAGATAATGATAAGAAAACGGACAACAGACATTAAAATGTGAATAGACAAGGTGACAAAAGCTTTCAAAGAAGCCAGAAAATTTGTGAAAGTCAAATGAAATTAAATCTGTTAGAATTAGAATGTTTCAACTCATATCAACAACAGAATATTTATTCTCAAACTGGCACAATTAAATCAATTTATTAATCAAATATAAACATTCACTAACTGTTGTCTGTACAGACCAGAAAGACTTAAAATGGTACGACAGATTTACTCATGTGAGCTTATGGATAAAAATTCAAGTGGATCAAAATTTAAAAACAAATAAGTTTAATTAGAAAGTTGTTTATCCAGAACTAACAGGGCAAAAGAAATAGATGTAAAAATACAAGGAGAAGAGACAAAAGGAAAGTGATAAACAGTGGAGGAAACGGATAAAAAGTAGAAGTAGGCGAATTGTCAGGATATTACTAGGCAACACACTTTAATCCACTTCAAATAATTCTCCTCGCACAGGTTAGCAATATAAAATGACACAACGTTAGTCTGTTAATAACAAACATGAAGTCAACACAATGTTACAAAGAAACTAATTTAAATTCATGACTTGCTAGAAATACATGAGTATGACAAGAACACTAGAGTGAGTACACATAAAACATGAGCTCGTACATTTAAAGTTCCATCCCTTTCCCCGTGTTAGAGTCTTGATGAGGATAAAAGGCAAGGGGAAGAGAGTGGCAGTGATGCAACAAAAAGCTAGCAATCTGGTTCCCCATTTTGACATCTGAAAGTGATGGCAGATGCCGACTCTATTGCTCTAAAATAAGACATACAAACAGAACATTAAAACAAAGTCTATTCTGTAAATTATGTATACTGTGTCACTGCCCATAATTCTCTAAATGCTTGGCTTTTATTTTTATTCTCTAAATTCCTGTTAGTATCTCTTCGTCTGTGCTATCTACACAAGTATCACCATCCCCCACTGTTGCTGCCTTTAGACCTCTCTTGTCTCACATTAGATCAGTTACAGAAAAAACTATGGCATGCATGCCAACTGTGGCATGTGGAATGATTTTTAATGGCATGCTAAGGGAATTGAAGTACATAATATAATTTCAAACATTAAACAGAAGTAAATAATTTCATATAAAAAACAGTTTTTTTTTTCAGTAATTGTAACTTTGTAGACTTAGATTGACATGCTGAACACAACATTACTTTGACAAACAACTGCCCTACATTAGACTGCAATCTCATCTATTCTTATAGGAGCATTTAGTGAAAGCCAATCATGCAGCACCACACCTGATTACGTGTGCAGAACATGATCAGGTCATGGTCATGTGACGAGAACTGAACAATGAATACAAGAGCACATGCTTATTGTCCCATGATGCACAGGTCCTGTTTCTGACCACCGAGAGAATGGCTGGGCTGATTCAAACCACCGAGAGAATGGTTGAGCTGATTCAAGCCACCGAGAGAATGGCTGGGCTGATTCAAACCGAGAGAATGGCTGGGCTGATTCAAACCACCGAGAGAATGGCTGGGCTGATTCAAACCACCAAGAGAATGGCTAAGCTGATTCAAACCACCGAGAGAATGGTTGGGCTGATTCAAACCACCGAGAGAATGGCTGGGCTGATTCAAACCACCGGGAGAATGGTTGGGCTGATTGAAACCACCGAGAGAATGGCTGGGCTGATTCAAACCACCGAGAGAATGGCTGGGCTGACTCAAACCACCGGGAGAATGGCTGGGCTGATTCAAACCGCAGAAAGAATGGCTGGGCTGATTCAAACCACCGAGAAAATGGCTGGGCTGATTCAAACCACCGAGAGAATGGCTGAGCTGATTTAAACCACCGAGAGAATGGCTGGACTGATTCAAACCACCGAGAGAATGGTTGGGCTGACTCAAACCACCGGGAGAATGGTTGGGCTGATTGAAATCACCGAGAGAATGGCTGGGCTGATTCAAACCACCGAGAGAATGGCTGGGCTGATTCAAACCACCGAGAGAATGGCTGGGCTAATTCAAAGCACCGAGAGAATGGCTGGGCTGATTGAAACCACAGAGAGAATGGCTGGGCTGATTCAAACCACTGAGAGAATGGCTGGGCTGTTTCAAACCACCGAGAGAATGGTTGGGCTGATTTCAAACCACCGAGAGAATGGCTGAGCTGATTCAAACCGCAGAAAGAATGGCTGGGCTGATTCAAACCACCGAGAAAATGGCTGGGCTGATTCAAACCACCGAGAGAATGGCTGAGCTGATTTAAACCACCGAGAGAATGGCTGGACTGATTCAAACCACCGAGAGAATGGCTGGGCTGACTCAAACCACCGGGAGAATGGCTGAGCTGATTCAAACCACCGAGAGAATAGCTGGGCTGATTCAAACCACCGAGAGAATGGCTGGGCTGATTCAAACCACCAAGAGAATGGCTGGGCTGATTCAAACCACCGAGAGAATGGCTGGGCTGATTCAAACCACTGGGAGAATGGTTGAGCTGATTCAAACCACCGAGAGAATGGCTGGACTGATTCAAACCACCGAGAGAATGGCTGGGCTGACTCAAACCACCGGGAGAATGGCTGAGCTGATTCAAACCACCGAGAGAATAGCTGGGCTGATTCAAACCACAGAGAGAATGGCTATGCTGATTCAAACCACTGAGAGAATGGCTGGGCTGATTCAAACCACCGAGAGAATGTTTGGGTTGATTCAACCACCAAGAGAATGGCTGGGCTGATTCAAACCAACGTGAGAAAGGTTGGGCTGATTCAAACCACCGAGAGAATGGTTGGGCTGATTCAAACCACCGAGAGAATGGCTGGGCTGATTCAAACCACCGAGAGAATGGCTGGGCTGATTCAAACTACCGAGAGAATGGTTGGGCTGATTCAAACCACCAAGAGAATGGCTGGGCTGATTCCAACCACCGAGAGAATGGCTGGGCTGATTCAAACCACCGAGAGAATGGCTGGGCTGATTCAAACCACCGAGAGAATGGTTGGGCTGATTCAAACCACCGAGAGAATGGCTGGGCTGTTTCAAACCACCGAGAGAATGGTTGGGCTGATTTCAAACCACCGAGAGAATGGCTGAGCTGATTCAAACCGCAGAAAGAATGGCTGGGCTGACTCAAACCACCGAGAGAATGGCTGGGCTGATTCAAACCGAGAGAATGGCTGGGCTGATTCAAACCACCGAGAGAATGGCTGGGCTGATTCAATATCTGTCCAAAAATACTTAAAGAGCAGTGATTCAGTTTCTTTCATTTGAAGGATATTAACCAGTGGAAATTCATATAAGAGTGCAGGCAGCAAGTGGTAACAAATATCCATCAAAAGACAACAAAGACAGACTGGTCACAAATGTTTCAAAAAAGGACTTGAGTTCACGGCAGATATTCTCTGGCCGGGTCAAGTGCATATTGTTGCAAAAGAAAACTCTATCGCCAAAACTGATGCCGCAATGCAGGTGAACTGTTGTCGAAGCATACATCTGCTAGCGAAATAATTTGATGGGTTAATTGGAAAAGTTCATAAAGTGGTTCAAAAGAAACTGCAATATCAGAAGGTGTCTTCACAATTGGTACCAGGGATGTTAACTGGCTAACAAAAGGACGAACGCATCGGATTGTGTTTGAACCGCTTGCTGTGTTACAGAACAGAGAGTGATGCATTTCTCTTCCACACAGTGGCAGACAATGAATCACGGAGTCACTAATTAGAGCCGAACCCCAAAAGACAGAGCATGCAACGGAAGCATGCTGGATCACCGAATGCTAAACAAATTTAAGTTTCAGGTTTCAGCTGGCGAGATTATGCTCAGCACATTTTGTTTCCATGTTTTTCACTTTGAAGGGCTACTGTTGGTAGACTTTAAAAAACTTGGTGTCAGCTTCAGCTATACCCACTACTTCAGCTATACCCACTAACAAACACTAGACAAGCTGCATAAAGCCATCATGACCCAGCATGCTCTCTCATGGTGTGATTTTTTGGGCCTATCAGCAGGTTGTAAAGACTGTGCAGAATTGTAAGCACAGAAGTGGGACATTCAGCAACACCCAGCTTATAGTCCCGATTTGTCAAAATGTGATTTTCGTCTGTTCTGAATTTTTTTTTTTAAAAAGGACGATTTTCATACAGATGCAAACACTTGGTTTAGTGAGCAACCACAATCTTTTTGTTTTTTTCAGACAGCATTAGCCGCCTACCGAAATAATGGGATGCTTGCCTGAATGCCCATGGCAACTTTTGTGTGACCAGTCAATAAGACAGAATTCATTCAGAATTAATGCTCTGTTTAATTCTGCCAAACTCCTGATGCTTCTTGCATGTTTTTCTAATAAAGCCACTGGAAAAGGTTTCGAACAAAGGCTCCTTATGTGTTAATTTATCAAGCAATTCAACTTATACAGCACACTGGCAACTATGAACCTCTTTTAACTACAGTGAAAAGGCAAAAAATGCAGTCGCATGGACATGTAATAAGATCTAACAACCTCTTAAAAACAATACTGCAGGGCTCAGCAGAAGGAAAGAGGAGAAGAGGCAGATCAAGAAAGACCTGGTTACAGAACCTGACTAACTGGACAGGCCTCAGTCATGCAACTATCAAGTCCATCGGAACTGACCGCCAGAGGTGGAGAGAGCTGATCAGACAGTCAACAGAAACTGGTGACCCAACGACATGTAGTGTTACGGTATGATGATTATGAATTCAAGTTACATAAGGAGTTAAAAATACATTTAAAAAAAAAAAATAAATGCCGACCAAAAAATCCATGGAAAAGAGAACCAGAGATGGAGAGACATGGGGGGAACTTATGGTTACTATGGTAACTTGTGATATTAACTGTTCTATGCTGCCCACTGTTCCTGAATTCTTTTTGGAATGCAATAAGTTATTTACATAAGTATTTGTATCATCTGTAATGTTACAGCATTTAATAAAGCACTGCTCCTCTCAGGCCTCTAAAAGTTTGGCTATCCTCCGAATAATGGTCCTAAATTATCGAGCCGGAAAATATACCCTAACAGGGTTTCAGTCACGTGTCAACTGCGCACTTTCGGGGACTATAACGCCACCCCGTAATTGCAAACTTTCGACCACCGCCAAGAGTATCCCCATGCCACGCAAGCGGCGTGAATTGGAGTTAAACTAGATGGCTAGGACTCACGAGCAAAAAAAAAATGAAGGCAGCTGCAGGAGACGCAGTAGCTGCTGCTTGTGAGTCCCAGCCATCTAGTTTAGCCCCAATCCACGCCGCGTGAGCGGCGTGAGGGATACCCTCGGCGGTGACGGAAGTCGCCGGAAGTGCGCAATTTAAGACGACGGAAGTGCGCAGTTGACACGTGACTGAAGCCCTGTTAGGGTATATTTTCCGGCTCGATAATTCAGGACCGTTATTCGGAGGATAGCCAAAAGTTTTCTTTGAGTCAGCGCGCGGCCTCTACTGCTGTTGTCCGTAGTGGGTGAAATGGTGTCCCAGTATTAGGTTAGGCCTTGCCTTGCCCATTCTTGTGATCAAGTATGTTCAAACTTATTCATTCATCAATTCGTCTTTGATGGGTTTTATTTTTAATCTGCTACTAATATCTTAGACAATAAAAGTTTAAAAACAAAAACCAGACAAACTGATACCAAACCAGAAGACAGAGCCTGGAGCCGGCAGGAGATGTTCTCAGCGTAAACTTGGGCGGACGGTCGTTTGGTCGTCAGGCCTGACGTCACACACGCTCTCCCTAATCTCCACCTTCGTTGGCA